TCTCATTTCTAAGGTTCTAAGATAGTCGAAGGGAGATCCCTAAGGCTAGATCCTAAACCCTAAGAGGAAGACTAGACCTCGCTAAAAATGAGGTCAACAGTGCGACATATAACATTTCTTTGAGAGTTCACAGGGTGTTTAGGCGATAGTAAAACTTTCTCTAGAATGCAAGAAAGAGATTCCCCATCATCTCCTGGCACATCTTCACATTCCTCATTGAAAAATGGAAATTCACGAGCGGATTCTTCAATGGTTTCTCCTTCAACTAATTGTAATTGTACAAAGAGGCAACCACGCCTCCAGAATGGGTCAAGGATTTCAAGATGTAGTTACTTAGTGAGTTGTGTTGAAGTACTTATTTGGCCGTTATAGCCTAATTAATTCAAATTGGAGTTAGTTTTAAAATAATGTAGTTATTTGTGTTTGATCGCTTGTCTTTGCTAAGACACAATTCGACACGGCACTCTACTAAAATGATGGCTAGTCTAACTTGGACAGCTGGAGCGGGTCAAGAAGTGCAAGGGGGCCAACTGACCAAATTATTTGGGTAAGGTTTGCCGCCCAATTCCTCCTTATCTACTATTATGAATACGTCATTTGCTTTTTTTAGGGTTAGTTTTTGTTGAGTTTTCTATCAGGACAACCATCAACTTTCAAGTTTTTCTCTTTGAGGGCTGTGTCCGAAGGCGAGAAGGTGCTCCGACTGTAAGTCGTATTGAGGCGGTGTTTATTTACCTTTATGTGCTTCCCCAACCTTATCCCACCGGTTAGACTTGCTGCTGTTTCTGTTGCAATTGGTCTACTGGCAGTTTGGTGCTGTCTAGCCACTGTTCGACTCTTCCCCTTCCTATCCTTGCTTGTTGCCGAGAACCCCAACCACCCTGCCTGCTACCGCACATCCCTCCAGGCTCCCTCCTTGCTGCCGCCAAACTCCTCTAGCACTCCACCCTGCTCCCACAACCCCCTCCAACAGCCTACACTACTTCCGACACCCTATCACATGCCTCGTATTTCAGCCGTAGCCCCTCACTAGTCCACCTGCTGCCGCCGCAACCTCTCAACCCACCACCCACCTGTTGTCCAGCCAGTGTTTACCACTTCCGCCCTCATCCTAGGGTATCTTTTATGTTTTTGTTGATTATTTTCTTATTGTCAAGTGTGCTTGTTTGTATTCCTATTGAATTTCAGCAAATCCTTATTGTTGTTTGGGTTAACTCAAGTCACAGTTGGGATGACATCCCTGATCTCGTAACAATAAAAACTGTTCATTTGAAAAAATAAAAGTTTTTGGAGTTTATATCCAGTTGAATGTTATGGCTTTCAAGGATTAACAGGATACCAATAACTGCTTCATATATGTTACCAATTCAGGCATTTTTTCGTGGGAATCTCCCAACTAGGGGTGGGCTGGGTTTTTTGATGTGTGAGTGAATTGTTAAATGACTATGCTTAAGGTATCTCAAATTCATTTTACTAGGTGTGGAAAATTATATTTTGTGTGCAAACAATGTGTGAGTTCAAATGCATGATATTTATTGAAATTCTGCATTCGTTGGGATACCGATAGCTTCTACTTGTATCTGCGAATTTGTTACATTCATTTTTCTTTATTTGAGCCACTTTATCAATTTGGTTTTTTTTTTGTTTGATTTGTTTTGGAAGCCGTCCTGCTACTCGAGTGTAAGTTGTATATTGTGCTCTTATGTTTACTCGTCTATTCATTTCATCTTCCCTGTCTCAAATCTTTAAATGTATCTTCTCGTAGAAATAATAAGAACACGAGATGTATCAGCCCCTAGAAACATCTGATCTTCATTGTATTAAATCTGTATGTCTGAACATAGAAACAATTAAAAACTGTAGCTTTACCATGCACATAGGAAATGCAAAGCGATCTGTGGAAGTTTTTGTTTCACATTTTTTTTTGTCATTTGCTTCTGTATGATTACCTTAGTGGTTGCCATTTTGGATGTCCTTCGAGTTCTACGGAGCTTTTAATTTGATAGTTTGTCTTCCAAAAAATAAAAAAAACCTGTTTTGCAGTTTTCCTTCACTTTCATGCGAATTTGCATCAGTAGATGTGAGCGACATATTGGGCACAGTAAGTTTACCTGCCTCTTTGCATTTGGTTATAAATGTTAGTCCATCTTAGGTGAAGCTCCTTCTTATTTTGAATTATTAAACACCTTTTTTGTTGTTTGAGAATTTGCAGAACAGGCTAAATATAACAAAAACGGTTCGGAAATTTTCAATAGATCCCAATTTAAAGTCAACTGGAGCTGAATATCATTCTGGACCAATCCCCATGGTTAGCAAGCATGGGGATGACTTTGAAGAAGAGAGCGGTGATGGTTCAGTTTTATTAACTGCTGCGAGTTTTGACAAATATTCTCACCAGTAAGTAGGCAATTCCCACATATCCTATTCTGAGCACTCGCTTTATTCTTGAATTTGTTAGGTCCAACAAAAAGCAGTGGTGTTTCATAAAAAGTGCATTTGGCCTGATCACGAATCACCTGTTGCCAACAGATAGTTTTTCTTTTTAATTTATCAGATTGCAATTTGTCTCCCTCATTAATGCAAATCTCTACTCTTTGTTAACAAGTAGTTGCTCATAGTTTATAGTGCTTTTGCTTAAAGGTAGTTGTCTGATATGTTCGTCAATAAGGTTAGAAGGGACATGTTTTCGTTTCCTAAGCAGTTCAAGTTGATCAGATGAGGCCATGGCTCATGTAATCGATCTCTTGGGTTTTTTTAAAACCTTTTAAGGCCAAATTTTTAGGATATTGGTGTGAGTGATCAACATTAACTAGGGTAGCAGAGGTAGAAGAATAGTTGGATATAAAGGAGGGATCCGAGAGGAGAGGTAAGAGAGGGTATTGGAGAGGAATTTTAATTTCAATTCATTCAACCACGAATAATCCAAATAAAAGCAATATATCCTCTATTTATAGAAACTTGCAAAAACTTTGCGTGCATGTGTGGAAAATAGTTGTAATTATGAAATTAGTCAAAAAGTATACAAAAGTTAACTTTGCGTGCATGTGTGGAAAATAGTGGTAATTATGAAATTAGTCAAAAAGTATACAAAAGTTATACGAATACACAATGTTTGGCAACATGAAACCACATACGATGACATTTGTTAATATTTTAGTTGGATACGTGATGTTGGTCTTTTATGGGCTGGCCAAGGAGAACAGAGCCAGCAAACTGGCCGACCCACCCATGAATACAGCCAACCTGTCCACATATGGAGGCCACATGGAATTTGGTATCAAAATGGATCTACCAGAGTTTAAGGGAGGTATATGTCCAAATTAATTTATTGATTGGTTACAATCTGTTGAAAGGATCTTCTAATATAAAGATGTTGCAGTGGATAAGCTGGTCAAATTAGTTGTTATCAAGTTGAAAAAAAGTTTCTTTATGGTGGGAGAACTTAAATTGATAGAGGAATAGGGAAAACATCGATAAGATTACCAAGTTGGAGAATATGAAGAAAGTAATACAGAAGAAGTATCTTCCACCTCATTATCGTCAGTACATGTTCTGATGATCCATCACCTACAACAACGAGACATTTCAGTTGAGGAGTTCACAACTTAGTTTGACCACTTGTAGATGAAATGCGAGCTGAATGAGTCGAAAGAGCACACTGTAGCCAGGTATCTTGGGCGGCTAAAGATCATTATTAGCAATGTGGTATAGTTGCAACCTTATTGGTGACTTGGGATTGTCCAGACCATAGTATTCAAAGTGGAAAGACAACAGAAACAAAACAATCAACCACCACAAGGCAACACCAGCAGGAGCACACTTTGTGGAGTTGAGAAAGATGGTTCGGATAAGGATAGAGCCACCTAGTGAGAAGAAACATGAAAAGAGTAGTCGAGTTATGCCTTTTACGGTGTGGGGCGTCATGGAGGAAGTTAGAGATTAGGAGACCGCTGAGGAGTAGGGCAAGGTGCATCATCTTCCACCTGATGATGGCGAGATGTTCATGGTTCGATGGGTCCCGCAGATTCAGGATTCGAGGGATTCCAGTGTATGATCATGCGTGGTGCAATAGGGTCCCTATAGATGTCTGTCGCCTTTTGTTGGGGAGACCGTGACAATTTGACCATAGGACTCAGCAAGACGGATTCAGGAACATTCAATCCTTCACCAAGGAGGGGAAGCACATCATCCTACTTTGTTAGAGTCCGAGATCACAAGAGCCCTTGCCAGCAGAGCATCATCGGTGGGACCATTTTTGATGACGATAGAGGGTGATAGGACCAAGAAAAAAAGCTCCAGACACAGGACAGTCATGTTAGGGATCATTTCAAGATATCACGGTAGATACCTTACCACAATTGCCACCATCGCTTGAGGAGGTTTAGGTTACCCTCACTTCAGATCAGGTTCAAGCGACCGGGGATTCCTTTGGGAAGATTCAAAAATATATGCAGGCACGCTGACTCAGGTTAGTGTTGTAGTGTACCCCCAGAGGAGCAAATCAATATGGATATACGCTCGTAAGTGAAGAAATCTTCTTCGGTGTTTTAGAAGACAGTGCAGTCGACAGTGGGATCCATGTGCTTCTACGACCACAAAAAAAGTACCAGAAGCTTCGATGCATGAATTCAATGCTCTCCTAACCTCAAGAGACTGGCTCGGGGCTTTTATGGGCCATTTGAACCGGCCTATTCAACCAGGAAGATCAGGGCCAACCAACCAGCCAACCGGTCCAAGGCTATAGCTGTACCCTTTCTTTCTTTGTATTTTGTGCTCACCTTCTCTATTTGCCGCCAGCCTCCCCTTCTTTTTTCTGGATGCCGCCCGAAGGGGAAGCCTCCCCTTCCTGTTTTATCTTGTAGCTATTATATATTGGTTGTTTTTATTGCATAGGGTTAGCTGTTTTGATTAATTCTGATGTCAGAGTTGTGCCGCCAGTCGTTCTCCTGTAGCTTGGGCAGTATCCGATGAAAAATAGTGTTCCAACTATATCTAGTTCCGAAGTGGTGATTATCCTGACCTTTTCCCTCTTCCCTTGCCATCACACTCCTCCCAGCAGCCTTCGCTGCTGCTGCCCTCCTACCTAGCACATTTCCTGCTACTGCCCTCCTTCCAGCAACTGTTCAGTGCTGCCGCCCTCCTACCCAGTCGCCTTTCCTGCTGCTGTCCTCCTTCCAGCATCCGTCCCCTGCAGCCGAACCTCATCCCACAGCCTCCCCCTACCATAAAGCCTCCTCCCAGCATCCCTTTCGACCACCTCAATAACTCCCCAGCAACTTCCTTTGCTGCTGCCAGCCTTCCATGTGTCCACCTTGTGACCGCCTTCCCCCAAACCAGTCACCTTCTTGCTGTCCAGCTGCCACCCTCCCCCTTTACCATTGCCTCGGGTGTCTTTGATGTTTGTATTCATTTATTTCCGGTTTGAAGGGTCGTTATTGTAAGCTATTTGCATTTCAACAATAATATTTTCTTATTCTCTCTTGTGGTTTGGGTTGACTCCGATATCATGACATTTACTATGTTTTTATAGAGTTGCATTAGACAAATGTTATTCAAATCCTTAGAAAGCTAAAGTGTATGAAGCTCATTAAAATTCATTGACAAAATATATTCCAATGGATTTAGTAGAAATTTTAATTTTTATTATTTTAGTATATCCCCATGTGAAGGAGCTGCCATAAAAGGCTACGAAGTGGACTACAAATATAATATTATGTTGGTACATGATATAAGCGTTTAGGTACTTTAGACCAGCTATAAACATTGATATTGACATCACATCCAAAAACTAAGACAAATCAAGGCCAAGATGGTCTGAATGCGTGCTTATGGGCATCACCCATTAATCTTTTTTTCACAAAGCTCAAATTGAGGCAATTTCACATACTATTCACATTATTAATGGGCACTTATTCAAACGCATGCTCATTGTTACTAATTTTGTGCTGAGTTGAGACTGCTCTATCATCAACATAATTTTCTATTAAATCAGGTTCACAAGGAGAGAGACTTCAGAAAGAAATTCAACAGTTTTTGAAACAATTATAGTAAAGAACTAAAGCTATCAAAATTGATCATGCACTATTATTAGTTGCGCTTCTGTTCATAAATTTGTTCCGATTTTCTTGAATCTTCACGATCCTATTATGTAGCTGTGTGGTTTAGAGTTTCAAGTCTAAAGCCCCGGTGAATTTTTAGAAAGGGAATTCTTGGGAGAGTTCTGTTTTCTCCTATCGATATTTGCATTAGCATGTCCTAGATCCAAAGATGTTTTGCATCACTTCTTAAAGATATTGATTGATATTGTAATAGCCCTTAATTCGTTATGGAATATCAATTTAAGCCTTTGGAAGTAGTGTGATTGATGTATTTTACCCGGCCCTCACATTTTGTACATCTAGTTTTTTATAGCAACATTCTATCTTAAGATGATTACAGAGCTTGCCCCAACCCACCACCCACCTCACCCATCACCCATCACCCATCACCCCGACCCCCCCACACTTCGAAGTTGGTCTGTTCCTTTCATAAATTTTCATTTCTTTTCCCTTTAGATTTTTTCGATCTGATTCTAAGCTATTTGTAAAGCTCACATTTTATCTTTGTTTAAGTCTTATGGATGCTTATAATTCGTATAATTTGAGTTTTTAAATTTTTCTCTCTTAAAAATTACCATTATGTTCCTCTTGCAGATATCCTATTCTTGCTGTCAACTTCTATGCGCCTTGGTGTTATTGGAGCAATCGCTTGGTACTTTTTTCAAATTTTTTTCTTTGTATCTATTATTTGATTCTAGGTTATGTTACGTAGATTTTCTAGTATGTATTTACAATTTAGCATAATTTCTAAGATGATTGCAGTTATTTTTGCAATATTAAATACAAAGTGTGTCCAATATGTGAGCCGTTTCATCAATGCCATGTGTGAGGTTAATCGTAGTTTTTGGTGGGCCTTTTGTTACTTCATTTTATTAGTTACTATTGTGTTTCCTTGGCTACTAGCACCAACATGGAGTGGAAATTGCCATCATGGTGGAAATAACCGTAGATTCCATAGATTCATAAATTACAAGCTTCAGTATTGCACAACACATCAAAGTAACGAACGGAGTAAACCAGGAAAAAGGTTCAGATATCAATGCTGTATCTTCATTTTTTGTGCAGAGAGATTGAGGCTTTATGTGCTAGGTATAGCGTTATGCCATATTTAACATCATTTGAGGAACATAACTTTCTGAGACTTGAGTCTTATGAATTATTTAAACCATTTTGTTTAACTTAAAATGCTGAAAGCTTCGTTGTATCCTCTTGTTGAATAAGTAAAACAAGTACAATAATTATCAGACCTTCTATCACAAAGCATAACATCTGTTACTAATGGGAATCATAGGAGGAAAAATATTTAAAATGCTGACCTATTGACTTTCGTTGCCCGTCACCATTCTGCATTCTAGAGTTTTATAAGTACATGATTCTGCCATTCTGTTGCTGGATTCTGGATTTCACAGTTTTGGATTGTGTTTTCTTCAATTTTGTAGCAGAACATAATATTTTGCTTGGATTCCTAGCAGACGGTAAATTTTTTTGTATTATTGCTTTTAAAATTTATGACATCCTTTCATTCATTGCAGAGACCTTCATGGGAGAAGACAGCTAAAGTCATAAGGGAAAGGTAACCTTCTATTTATATTTGAGTTCACGTGGATAGATACTCCATCTTAACCTCTTACTCAAGAAAAGTTCTTCTAATGCTTTGCTTTAAACTATCTAGATATGACCCTGAAATTGATGGGCGAATTCTTTTGGGGAAGGTGGATTGTACTGAACAATTTAATCTATGTAAGAGGTAAATATTTTCCACATATGAGGAGACTTGCTGCTAACTGGTATCTTCTATCTTTCATACAGAGTTAATTTCCTATATTTTTTAACATAATTGTATGCGTATGCATTTGAAACTTGATCATGAACTCTTTTTAATAATATTTGTTAGGCACCACATCCAAGGCTACCCATCAATTCGCATTTTTCGTAAAGGAAGTGATGTCAGGTATGGATCATATTTTTGTTAATTTTAGAATATTTTATTCTTATATTATTTATGAATTCCTCACCTTAATGGACCATATTTCTTGTTTAGGTGTAGTTCGGTTTTTTTAAATGAAAATTGGCTTAAAATTTTAATGTTCCGTACTTATCCGGGATCAAGAAACTACTGCATCGTGCTTAAATCAACATTTGCAAATTATAAACTTTTGAACTCCTTGATGTTTTTCTTTATAGTTATGTTGCGTTCAGTTATCAGATTTGAAGCAATATTAATATTTTGATGGAGTATCTTCTTGTATAGATAATAGTGCAGAAATTTGACTTTATGTTTGTATCCCGTGTATTTGTGCTTTTCTTTTACATCTCATTTTACATATTAAGAAGATTATGTTGCCAAATATTTGACTAATCTAGCTCATTTACTGCAGCGAATCTTTTGATATGATGTTTGACTTTTGTTTAATAATATACATGCACATGTACATATGCACACAAACACAGAGATGGAAGAGACTGCCATGTGAATGATGTAACATAAGGAATATATATACACATACATTTACATACATTCATACATACATAAATCAATACATACATACAAACATATCTATATAAATATATGTATAGGATCACTCAGCTTCACTCGAAAGTTGCCGTGTTGTTTACACACTCAATCCACTTATGTGCTTTACATTCATGCGCGCTCTACTTTTTATCTATTCTGTCGTACGCCTGCTTCAACCATCACCTTGCATTTAATTCACTTGAATACATACTTTTTCCAATAAACCCTTAACTGTATGCTTTGCTGATCTCATGACAGCTGTTCGCTAAATTGCTAACGGCTTTGCTTCTCATCATGACTTCTACTTGCTCTTGAATTTTTCAACCATCATTCACTCATCTCCTACTTTAAGGGGGTGTTTTACTGCCTCTTGGATTTAACTTAAGTAGATCCGGATTTATTAACCGGATTTATTAAATCCACTTATGTTAAATTTAAATTTTATGTTTGATATTATTTCCGTTAAATCCAGTTAAAGCCGTAAATAATGTTTGACATTTGCTTTTCGGATTTAACTGTCCCAAGACTGGATCTTCTTCCAAATGCCGAGATTTCATATGTTCTCATCTCCCTTCTCATGCATAAATCATAACTGAGCAATTTTTTGTTCTGCTATGCTGACAGTTTCCTTCATTTCAGGCTTGCTATTTATATAAAAGCTTAATCGCAGATATTTTATTTCGTCAAATAAGTAAATCAATCAGAATGGTCTCTCTCTCTCTCTCTTTCACTATATATATATATATGATAACTGCATATAATATTTGAGCAACTTCCCCATGAAAATAATTGAGAAACTTTATAAAGCCACTTATAATACTGAGCTCTGTGCCCCTTAATGCTGCCCTGAATAAGCAAACAAATATTGCAGAAGCAAACACAACCTCCAACAACAAGAACTACATTAAAGCACACTTTGTCCAAAACTCCCAAGTCCAAGTCTACCAAAAAGAAGCCTCCACAAATGTGATAATAATAATAACTAGAAAAGTTAACTTACATAGCACACAATTCTTATGTATTTACATATCTCACGCCTAAACTTTCATTACATGCATAGCTCTTTGGTGTTTTAAACCTTTGCATGAAAATGTTTGACTTTAAAAATGTGGCGATAGTGCTATTTTTATATGATATTAAAGATTTGAGTGTTACTTGTGTGAATATGAAAGTTTTGGTGTGAAATAAAAATATATGAGAATTGTGTGCTATACTAAGTCACCGAGATTACAGAAATAGAGCTTCAAAGCTAACAAATTCATGGAGCGAAAAAAATAATGAGAGAAGCAGCATTCCATCAATATTCGATAAAATAATACTCTCATCAATTAGCAGCTCTTCCAACATTCCTCTTAGCCAATGCAAGGGCAACAACCGCAGATATACCGAGTAAATTAAATTAGCTCTGAAGCCTAAAATTGTTTCATAACATTAAGAGCAAACATCAAAAGAATAAATAAAGAATAAATAAAGAATAAATAGAATTAAAAACTCCTTTGTGATCATTTAAGAATTGTAACTAAACACATTAAGGATATAAATTCTCAAAGTTGGGAAAAAAATCATTTCCATCCCAAACCTGAAAGCACAAAATATGCATATGAATTCAAATTTTTCTCCTCTTCGATTCAAATATCAAGGGTTGAGAACTAATGAATGCAGTGAATCATGGAAACAGGAAGGGGAAACACAAACAAGTGATCAAACTAATGTTAATTAGTAGGCCGGGAAAAAAAACTTTAAAAGTAAAAAAAAATAGATTGCATCCGAGCTCCAGAAAAAATGGAAAATTTTAAAGTAAGATTTTAAAACGCAACAAAAAATCAAGAAGAGAAAGTAACAAATATATTAAAGAGAAAAATGACATTTTGGGTATTTAGATAATTAGATAAAAAAAGAAAACTAACATAGGGCTAATTAGGGCAGAGGAGATCCATGAACGTGAATGAGAAGGAAAAGCAGAGTTGGGGAAACAGATGAACAAAACACTGTGGATACAAGAAGGGTTTAAGAGTGGAAAAAATTAAGCAACAACCATCACTTAATTAATGATAGGAGTTTTGGTGGTGTCTATGAATCGTGGTTCCGTTGTTGCTTTTCTAGCTAGAGCTCTAATCACGATTGCATTGTGATTTTCCATCAAGAAGGCGATGGTTTTGGGTGAAATCGGTTGAAGGGGAGGGAATAGAAGAGGGTTTCAGATAGAGTTTTGAAAAAGGAAAGGTACCAAGAGAGCGGGAGTGATGTAGGCGAGGTTTCAACTTGCGACGATGAAAATGGTGATGTGCGGCAAGCGTATCTTTCAATCTTTTATTCTCCTCTACGACTCTTCTCCTCTACGAAGACGAGCTACGAATGAAGGAAGCCGGTAGTTGCAAAGGAATGACGAAGCACGTGGTCCTTAAATCTACCTCCGGATCAGATTTACTAAATCCGAGATTCACGTTACGCCTGAGAAGTTATCGGATTTAAGTAGATAGACGAACTTAACGGGATAAAAATTATGTTTGATGGATTTACATTAAATCCAACGTAAATCCATCCTAAATTAGGCTACCGAACACTCCCTTAGTCTCATTATCGCTGAAGTAGTGAAACAACTTAGCATAAAAATTCTTTAACCGTCGATAAATTATTTGTTTAGAATCTTGATGTTGAGATCTACTCACAATAGTTATTGACAAAAAATCATTATGGAACAAAAAACTTACTACTGCAAGCACTGCAAGATGTTTGGACACCCGTAGAAGAAATTTTTCAGATTGCACCCACAGTTGAGAACCAATAGTCAAAAGCAGGAACATACTATTAGTGCACCCCATGTGCCTGAACACGCTGCTTCTCCTGACTATACTACAACGGATAATGTTTTGAACCGAAAATCAGGATAGTCCCGCACCTCATATTCAAGAAGCATCAGGTGCAGAGTTAACAATTCACACTTCACATACACTGGAACCTATCACAATGACAACGACTACCTTTCCTTCTATTGCGGTTCTAACATCAAAGTAGACCAAGGATCACATGAGTCAGTCTTCAGATGAAGAACGACAGATTTACACTTCTTGGCGGAAGAAGAAGGCTGGAGGCACACTCAAACTTGAAAAACTTAATGGATGATACTTTGATTACTCCTGGCAATGACACGACTCTTCAAAGTTTGTTATCTGGCTCCGCTCCTAAAACTAGAGAAAGAAACACGACTAAACTAACTCGTCCCTAGCTACTTGTTTTCTTCTTGTTTTAAATTTGTGTTACTTTTTATTGAGTCTATATGCATCTTTTTGTTGGGGTATTACTGTACTTGTATCGTATGGGTAGGGTGCCTATTTTTGGCTCTCTCATACAACTTTTATGTATCCTTTCTATTTCAATAAATTCTACCCTTAGGCATTTAAATATAAATAACTAAATAAATATATATATATATATATATAATATTAAATTTGAATATTATTTTAATTTAATATTATGATGTCAATGCATTATTTTCTTGTCATGTTTTATGAATATCCTTTAAATTTGGTTAGAGATGACTGAAAAAAATGTTTTTTGAAGGTAGATGATATTTTTTTGGATTCATTTAATTATCAGTATTATAAATGAATTTCTCGAACTTCAGTGATTTAGAAAGCAATATCAAGTCTTTAAGTTCAGAAATGAGTCACCTCATGTTAAAAAATTTTATCCTTTTCATTTAATCCATGGCCATTATTTTCATGACAATCCGAGTTTGATAGATGCGTTATTAGCTGATGATAAGCTTAGCATTTAGCAATCATTGAGATTGTGTTTGAGCCTGTGTTTTGTCCTTTTACAATGATTGATTAATGGTCTTAATATTGAGCCTCATTTTGCAACAATTACATAAATTATTGTTGTTCTAGAGATATTTGAATTGACACTATAAGATGACCCACACTTTGCCATTACATCTTTATTCTTTAATATAGTTTCCAACAATTGAAATCGTTCTGCAACATTCATGGATGCAATGACAGGAAATCATATTTTGCAACCAAAATAAACACAATTCTTAGTTTTCTGTACTTGTAATGTTTTGCATCTTCAATTTCTTTTCCTTTCATCTTTTTTATTCTACAAGATATTGCAATATTTTATATTAACCAATTTACCACCTCCTACGTCGTGTTCTTTAACAATCAACTCTTCAATGGAAGTGTTTTCAACCATGGGGATCTGATGCTTCAAAAGAAATTAAATTTAGATTATTATTTACTTTAATGTGATTTATTTCAAATCTTTAAGATTTAATAGGTTTATTTTTAAAAATATCTTCTTTTGATAATATTTAGATTGAATATAAAATTCTATGGTTTAAGTAGGTAAAGATTTTATTTCAAAGTGCTTGATTGTTTCTTTATAGATCTTGTTGATAAATGGACCTTATTTAGGATCCTTTTGATATGTTA